GGAAGTGATAGCGATGGTTCTTCAAAAAGTTGTTCCACTGGTTCAGAAGAATCAAAAAGAATTAATAAGAAATCAGATTCTGAAGATAGAGCTGTATATAAAAGACGTAAAACAACATTCAAGCGTAATGAAAAAGAAAACTCTAAAACTCGTACTTGGAGAAATAATAAAAGTTGGAATTCAAGACCAGAAAATGGGTCTAGATTCTCTCAAAATAGAATTGACCCTTGGTCTAGAGGACCTCGTCCAAATTATTCTCATTCAACAAGATCTCTCGTTCCACCACCAATGTATGAAGTGCCAAGACCAACTGCTCCATTTGCATCTTCTTCTCCTGATTGGACAGTTCCTGTTATTCCTCCTTCAGATCCTGTAATATTGGATATGATTGCTCATGATGCTACTAAAACTATTAATATCGATGGTGTATCAAGAGAAGTACGATTTTATGGTCCAACGGCAATTACTTTTGTTTCGTGGGATGATCCTAGAGAGATATACTTTCAAGGACCTCCAAAAAATATTATATTTGATGATCTATTCCCAGTCTTGTGCCATTTCAATAGTCCTGACAGAGAATTTTTATTGGATGGTCAACCTCATAGAGTACGGTTAGGTGCACCGACTCGAGAACTTTATTTAGATGGCAATTTTTATGAATGTTTTTTTGGTGGCTCTCCAATCTTTACAGATCTTGGTGGTGTCAAAAGATCTATTAAACTTGAAGGCCCTCCTCCTTCAGTTAATATAGGAAACACAAAGCGACAAGATTTAGTTGCTGGGCGTATCGCTATTATTATTGATAACTCTTACACCGTACCTGTCTATTTAGATGCTAAACCACAGCGTATTGATGTAGGAAACACAGCACTTATTTTTCGTTTTATTGATGGTTTGATGAGGGCTATGATTAATGACCAACCATTCAAAGTCAACTATAATGGACCACCACAAGCAATTGTTGTAAGAGGCAATAAGCATTACCTAAGATTTACAGGATTACCACCAAATATTAGACCTGGTTATGCTGCTATTTCTCAAATGATGGGTGTTGTACTAACTGAAGATTCTTCTACTGAATCTTTACCACCAATACCTGCTCCGCCTATGCCACCTAATTTCTCCGGTTTTGAAATGACTACAATAACCCCAAATGATGATATTAATCAACTTCCTGTACAATCATTCTCTTCTTCTTATTCTTTAGCACCAAGTAAGAGTTTTTATAATATTAAAATTGTCTTAAACCATTGTATATTTAATTTGATTTATATATTTTCAGACACAGCAACAGTACCCCTACTTCCTAATGTTGCTCAAAAATTAGAAAGTGTTACTAGTTCTTATGTACCACCTACAGTGTCTGCTCCTATAGTACCTCCTGTCTTACCTAGTGAAATGGATATTAATGAATTATTTAAGAAGTTAGTAGACAGTGGAATTGTACCAAAGGACAAACCAAAAGAAGTTGTCCAATCGAAACAAAAAAAAAAAGAGAAAGAGGCAGAAAATTTAACAATAAAACCTGTTGATTTTTCAGATCCTTCATCATTAAAACAGTTAGTACTATAATTTTTTAATTACTTTACTTTTATTATAAACATACTTGGTCTTATTTCAGAAAACAGCCTGGATTAATTCACAATTTATATACAGGAATTCAGTGCAGTTCTTGTGGAATTCGTTTCACAGCTGAGTTTACCATTAAGTATAGTAGTCATTTAGATTGGCATTTTAGACAAAACAGGCGTGAAAAAATGGCAAGCAAAACTGTCCAATCTAGGAAATGGTATTATGATACTAGTGACTGGTGTAAATATGAAGAACAAGAAGATGAAACTACTAGAGGTGATAAATTGATATATTCTTAAATATAAGATTTATTTATTCATAGTCTTCGAAAAAAAATTATATTTCTAGTATAAAAGTTTATAATTTTTATATATTTTTAATGATAATAATTAATAACTTTAATAATAGAATATAACACATAAACTATATAGGTATAATTTAATGAAAAATGTGTAAAGAGCCAGAGTAGGAAATAAAGTTCAACTACCATTAATAAGATAAGATATTAAATGTGGCAAAATGTGTAGAATGCAAAATTTAGGTTGATTTAGTCATTAATTAAGAACAAAAAAATACATTTATTTTTATATATTGTATAAAAAAAATATAGTATGAAGTCAAAAACACTATATATGTATATTATAACTTAATAAATATTATTTATACATATATTTTGTTTTCATATAAAAATAAATTCTTATTAGTTACAAAAAACACAAGCCACGTTATAAGCTTATGACCTAAACCAAAGTGCCTGGCCAGTTCTGATATAGAAAATATATATTTTCTGTGTAAATTGTTTATAATTAATTAAATTGAATGCACTTATTTTATTATTGATAAATTCAATAGTTTTTAACCTTTTTTTTCACATACTAACATATTATCTAAATGAATGTTAATATATTTAGGTAATTATGACTAAAAAATATTACAAACAACATTAAAATATAAAATAAAAACAACATAGATCATCATTGTGGTACTATGTGACACTTGAAAGTTGCGACCCGGTGATTGAGAACAATGGGCTTAATTTTGTAATGTTTTGTTTTAAAATATTATTAAATTATTACATCTAAAAAAATGTTTATTATTATAATTATTTTGGAACTGTTAGTTAATAACATTCTAAATATAGTAATTTTGATTAATTTTCATACTGTAAGTTTTTTTTTTCAATTCATATAACAATTTTTATACCAATTTTAGCTGCTAGTTGGTTTGATATACAAGCTGAACAAGGTGCTAAAGAAGATGAAAAATTAGAAGAAGAGAATGTTCCTTGTGTTCCAGCTGGTGAAAATAGTGAATTAGCTGCCTGTTATTTGTGTCATGATCAGTTTGAACAATTTTATAATGAAAAAGATGAAGAATGGCAATTGAAGAATTGTGTTGAAAAGGATAAACGACTTTATCATCCAATGTGTCATGATGATATGATTGTAAGTTAAAAATAATCGATTCTCGTTTTTTTATTATAAATTTATATAACTGTTTATTTTTTTTAGAAAACTCGAGAGGAAAAAATTCGTAAGAGAAATCGAGCTATTGAAGAAGCTAAAAAATTGGAAAACCTAAAAAATGAAATTAAAGATGAACAACAACCGCTATTGACAGATGATATAAAAATCAAAGATGAAGAAAATGAAGAATTAAAATTGAAAAGAGAAGAAAAACTCGTAGTTGGAAAAGATCAATTAATAAAAAAAGAAATATTAGAGCCAATTGAAAATAAAGAAGTAATTACAGAAAAAGAAGTTGTTCCACTTAAAGAAACTGTTATAAAAACAGAAACAACAGCTATGGAAACAGAAACAACAGCTATGGAAACAGAAACAACAGTTATGGAAACAGAAACAACAGTTATGGAAACAAATACAACAGTTATGGAAACAGAAACAAGTATGAAAACAGAAACAAATATGGAAACAGAAACAAGTATGAAAACAGAAGCAAGTATAGAAGCGGAAACAGAATCAATTATTAAAGTACAAGAAAATGTAGAACAAATTACAGATGAAAATGTAAACCAAACTGAACTGGTTTCTCAGGAACCACAGAGTGAAGAAAACGTGAAGACAGAGAATTTTGAAGATTTGGAAATTCCTGATACCATGGAGATTATTCAAGTGACTGAAGTTTTATCACCTAAATTAATAGATGAACCTATTGTCGAGAATATCAACGATTCATCATCCACCCCAATCGCTCAAGAAAGTATACCTGAAGAAATTAAACCTAAATCTCCATCCCCTGTATCTACTATGACATGTTCCATTGATGGAAATACTGACACTGAATGGAATGTTCCAGTTGCTCCCTCAATGGGGACAATCAAGATTAACATAAGTCAAAAAATTACACCTGTTGTAAAACCAACTGTTCTTACTGAAAACACACTTATTGAACCTCAGTCACCAACAGATTTCACGCAGACGTTTGGGGAAATCGAACCCGGTCAACCCCCACCACCAGGACTTGAATTGGAAACAGTAGTGGCTCCAAAAATACAAAGGGATATGAAACCGAGACTGATGCACAATGCAAAAAAACTTAAGGAATATCCAATAGTTAATAAAGGCAAAGAAATGTCTGGATTATGTTCAATTATGTAAAAAAAATATATGGTTTATGTTGTGAATGATTAACCTATAAAATAATATTTTAGTTGTATATAATATATACCTGTTTAAATGTATGTGCTTAAAATGTGATATATATTATTTATATATTTATAAATATAATATAAAGAGCATTTGTTTGTATATTATAATAATAATATAAAATATTTGATTAAGTTGTTCACATTGTTGATTTTTTTTACCGAAAATAAATTATTATTTTATAATATTGATTTTAATCTCATTTTTAAAAATGTTTCCTAACTATTAATTTACTGGATAAAATACTTGAGATTTTTGGTCAATTCATAAATAATTTATAACATATAAATAGATATTATGTATTTTCAATTCACAGGGTTAAAAAACAATAGTTGTAGATAATCCGTATGCAACGTTAGAAAAAAAATTCCTTTTATTCTACATATAACATACTTATATTTGTATATTTTTAATTGATTAATAATAATAAAAAAAAAAAATATTAGTAATAATTTTCTTATTAATTACTAGTTTTGTCATTTTTTTTTTTTTTTAGCAACTTGAATACAATATTGTTGTTGAATATTAATATTGTAATGGTTTCTTATTTACAATAAAGAATTATGCTCATTATTTTATGTATTGTTTATTAAAAATTTATTTTCAAATTTTTGTGTGTAAATTCCTATATATTACTGTAGTACAGTCACAGCCAGTTTATAATATAAGGTATAGATGAACAATAGAATAACATTTAAAATAAAATATATATTTAAGTAAATCAATTTAATTATGATCAAATATACTATATAATAATCAATAGTAATAATAAAAACAAAAGTTTTATTATTAAACTCAAGAATTACATTTTACAATTATGTGGCCATCGAGGAAATGCAATAGTATCTTTAATATTCTGTACATCTAACAATACTTGAAGAAATCGTTCAAAACCGATACCAAAACCAGCAGTAGGCACATTACCAAATTGTCTCAATTCTAAATACCAATTGAGTTTGTCTTCCAATCCTACAGAAGACAATTTTTCTTTTAAAACATCATAATTGTCTTCACGGACACTTCCACCACATAATTCACCAACATTTGGACATAATAGATCTACAGCATACACCTATAAAATAAAACAAATATATTATTTTGTTTATTCAATAGTTGTTTTTTTAACATACCAAAGACTCATTATTAGGTATAGATTTAGCATAAAATGGTTTTAAATCTTTAGGCCAGTCTATGACAAAAATTGGTTTCTGACCATTATATTTCACTAAAAACAATTCATGTTCTTTAGCCAAAGGTTTGCCACGAATCATTTCATTTTTAAAACAATTTTCTTTTTCTAGTATATCACACGCTTTTTGATAACTAATTATTTCATAAGGAACATTCACCATGTTCAAAGGGTCATTGTCTATAGAAGCACCAATGGCTTTTCTGTAATGGTCTATTTCATCACCAGATTGTTCCAATAGTTGTTTTACAACTGTAGATGTAGTTTTTTCTATTGAGCTCAAGAGATCTTCTATATTATCAATGAAAGCTTGCTCTGCTTCAATCATATAAAATTCTGATAAATGCAATCTAGATTTTGAATTTTCAGCTCTAAATGTTGGCCCTAATGAATATACATTAGTTAGAGCTCGTGCCATACATTCTAAATGCAACTGTCCAGATACTGTTAAATATGTTTGTCCATTAAAAAAAGCTTCCATAGAAGACTGATCTTTTGAAATCATTTCTTTAATTAAATCATTACTATCTGGTTTAACTGCAAATACTTCACCAGCTCCTTCACAATCATTAGAAGATAACACTGGAGCATTTATTTCTATAAAATTGTCTTCAGAAAATCTATTTCTAACAGCCGTAGACAATTTATCTCTGATTCTAAGAAGACTACTAAAGGTTGCAGTACGTGGTCGAATATGTAAATGTTGTCTCACATATTCTGGGTGATAAGTTTTTCGAGGGCCAAATGGATAACCATCTTCGATAATACAAGACCCATGAACATTAATAGATTCAGCTACCAATTCAAGTTGATTGTTAGGATTTTTGACCAAAACACCCTCGGCTTCGAAAGAACACCCATAGGTCAAAGAATCTGGAATCTTATTTTTAGGTACAACTATTTGTAGATGACGATGTGTAGAACCATCATCTAAGTCCACAAATATGTTATTTTTCATTTTACGCATTGCTCTTGCCCAACCCTAAAAATCAAATAACAAAAGTAATTAATAAAGTATACTTCATCAATATAAATTATAATCAGAATTTTTTTAAATTTTAAATACTCAATCATAAAAAATAATAAAATAAATCTAATGTTGTACTTAATAAACATGAGAAAAAATAACCAATATAAATTTTTACTTTGACATAATTATAGGTAGTTAGATTATGTGTTTTCAGTTTTAACTATTTATTAATAATTTCTAGATAGATGAACTTATTTTTTTTGTACTCAAAGTTTACAAGTTATTTATTTATTTAAATTGATTTCATTTTTTTAAACATTTATTTAGATATACAAAACGTATATTCATAAAATATATTACTTAAGAAAAAAACTAAGATTGATATATTTATTAATAAAAAATGTCATTAAAATTAAATTCATAGATATTTGTAGCTTCTTGAAAGGTACCTATTACCTTTAACTTTTTTTTACAACCTTCAGATTGTGTATTTAAAACGTCTTTTACTGAACAACTGGAGTACAAATGCCTGCTGAAAGTATATCTGCATGGTAAACTTAATAATTTCATGTTCATTATTTACTATCTGGAATTGAAAATATGATTATTTATTTCATATCAATAACTAAAATAACTAGTATTTTTACTACAATATTTAGTAATTTATTCAACAGTATTCAGCCAAAAGAACACTTTTTAAATAGTATATTTTAATATTTTTTGTTATAAATTCATAAATTAATAAATAATAAATATATTTATTCTTTATTAAATGTAGATAAGGTATCAATTGTTTTTAAAATAAACTAGAAAAATAATTAAAGAGTATTTCAGAATATTTTAACCTATTAAATTTAATATCTGTATATTCCAAGCATTCTGAATTCAAATTTCAAAATCAAAATAAAATAATTTATAATAGTATTTATTCTTTTGGATTTATAAAATAGTAAATACTGTTGAGCTTGAGTTATGAACTTACCAACAAAACCAATTTTAAAATACCTACTGATGCTAGAAACAAGTTTACGACATAATCCTAAAACAAGGGTCGCAATTAAATTTGTACTAATAATTTTAATCAGAAAAAAAAAATCAAGTAATATGTTTAAAAATTGTATAATTTTTAATTAATTATTTATATAATTATATGTAAGTAATTAATAAATATTTCAAACTACAATAATTATAATACATCATAATATAACTGTTATCACGTCAATCTTTTTCAAAGCCATTGTAGCAGAATTCTGAGTAGCATTAAATTGGTATTTTATAGATAATGGTGGAAATACGAAACCCTGGTCCAGACGAAAGAAATTTTATCTGATAATTGAATTTATTAAAATATTGGTTTGTTTATAATTTTCAATTTATTTCCATTAAAATAATACTGTTTAACATTAATTGAATTATTAGAATATGATTTTGTGTATTACTCAATTAACTTTTAGCATTACTTATTTAATCTGTAGATTATAATACCCATCTAGTCTATCATATCTTAATCATTTTACACATTTCGTTTTAAATCAAATTGAAAAGCCTCGCCTGGAACAAAGCGGTAATCTACTTTTATTTTATTGTTATTATATAAATAACTAAAGTTTTTCTTATTGTAATGTGTTATTTGTTTAATTAGAATATGGCCACAGACAAGGTGACACTGACTGATGCATTGTCAAACGTGGACGTACTCGATGAACTTACACTGCCTGATGAACAACCATGTATAGAAGCACAACCATGTTCAATTCTTTATCAAGCTGATTTTGATACAAATTTTGAAGATCGTAATGGATTTGTAACAGGCATAGCAAAATATATTGAAGAAGCCACTGTTCACGCCAGTCTTGTAAGACAACAATTTACAACTTGTTGATTGCTGAATGTGTTAATATATCTTTAATATTTTTCTTATTTTGTTGCCCTTGTTTAGAATGAATTGTTAGAAGAAGGACAAGTGCATGCGGTCATGCTTTACACATGGCGTTGTTGTTCAAGAGCAATTCCACAGCCAAAATCCAATGAACAACCAAATCGAGTTGAGATATATGAAAAAACTGTTGAGGTTTTAGGACCTGAAGTCAATAAACTGCTTCAGTTTATGTATTTTCAAGTAAGTAAATTAAATTTTATTTTTATCTTTTACAAAAACTATATTTCTCTATTACCCAACTAAGAAATTAGAATGAATATTTGTTATAATTTTTATTGTATATTAGAGAAAAGCAATTGAACGGTTTTGTGGAGAAGTTAAACGTTTGTGCCATGCTGAAAAACGAAAAGACTTTATATCTGAAGCATACATATTAACACTTGGAAAATTTATTAATATGTTTGCCGTACTTGATGAACTAAAAAATATGAAATCTAGTGTGAAAAATGATTACTCAAGCTATCGCCGAGCTGCTCAATTTTTAAAAGTCATGGCAGACTCTCATACACTTCAAGAATCTCAAAATTTATCTATGTTCTTAGCTACACAGAATAAAATTAGAGATACAGTTAAAGAAAATTTAGAAAAAATTCCTGCATATGAAGAACTTTTATCAGATGTCGTCAATTTATGTGTACAAATGTTTGAATCAAAAATGTATCTTACTCCATCAGAAAAACATATGCTTGTTAAAGTAAATATGAATTCTATTAAATTTTACTTTGTAAAACTCATATTTATTTTATTTACAGGTTATGGGATTTGGATTGTTTCTTATGGATAATGAATTATGTAATATTAATAAATTAGATCAAAAGAAAAAACTTAATTTAGGCAAAATTGACAGAATTTTTAAGGTTTAAAATTTTTTTTATTATTTAATTGTTAATAAACTATTATTAATATGAATTATTTATTTGATAAAATTAGAATCTGGAAGTTGTTCCTCTATTTGGAGACATGCAAATAGCACCATTTAATTATATCAAGCGATCTAAACATTTTGAACCTGGACGTTGGCCTCTTTCTAGTTCGCCTCAAATCAGTCCTCAAGCAGATCTCATGGTGCATTTACCTCAAATAAGGGAAGATCATGTGAAGTATATTAGTGAATTGGCACGTTATAGTAATGAAGTGACAACTACATATAAAGAAACAAGAACAGATACCGAAAACAAAGATACAGCTGAATTAGCATTAAGAGGTTTACAATTACTGTCCGAGTGGACAAGTGTTGTCACAGAACTTTATTCTTGGAAACTACTTCATCCTACTGATCACCATCAAAATAAAGAATGTCCTGTTGAAGCTGAAGAATATGAACGAGCTACACGATACAATTATACAGATGAAGAAAAATTTGCACTTATTGAAGTAATAGCGATGATAAAAGGATTACAAGTACTCATGGCTCGTATGGAAACAGTTTTTACTGATACTATTCGTCGTAATATCTATGCAGAATTACAAGATTTTGTTCAGTTAACATTGAGAGAACCATTAAGAAAGGCCATTAAGAATAAAAGAGATCTTATTAGAAGTATACTCGTTTCAGTTCGAGAAACTTGTGCTGACTGGCAGAGAGGTGTAGAGCCATCTGCAGATCCAGCTTTGAAAGGAAAGAAGGATCCAGATATTGGATTTGGAATTAAAGTGCCTAGAAGGAATGTTGGTAAGTTGTAGATTATAATAATCATAAAAATAACACTTCCAATTTTATCTTTCATTTTTTAGGTCCATCATCTACCCAACTTTACATGGTGAGGACAATGTTGGAATCATTAATTGCAGATAAATCTGGTGGTAAACGTACTTTACGAAAAGATATTGATGGACAATACCTAATGCAAATTGATCAATTTCATAAGACTTCATTTTTTTGGAGCTATCTCCTTGGATTTAGTCGTATGTGTATTTAAATTATTATTTATTTCCTCATTATTACCATAATATTATTCAATTACCAGTAGATAATTTGTCTTATGTCTATTGTATTGGTTTATAGCTTATTCATAATAAAAAAGTTTAATATTAACAAATACTATCCTAGTCTACATTAAATTTCCACAAAGCAGTCAATTGTTGATATTTCCAGTTAAATGATTAATAATTTAATTTAAGATCATCTTTATAAGCATGATAAATGTGTTCAATTTTATATCTGTATGAGTAGGTAACAGCCAGTGACTACATTATTCAATTACTGGTTTAGTAGTATTCTTGGAATTTTATTGTAAACAAAATTAATAAAGAAAGAAAAATATTTTTTTTAAAGACAATTATTTTGATATATATAATGGACTGATTTAGAGAAAAAGGTCTAGTTTTATCTTTGCAAATATTAATTTCTTCTATTTTCTTAAATTTTTATTAGCATTTAATACCAAAAATTAATTTTGTTTTTAGAGTCATTACAACAATGTTGTGATCTTTCACAACTATGGTATCGTGAGTTTTATTTGGAAATGACTATGGCAAGGCGTATTCAAAAATGTACTGTCAAACATCAGCACAACGAAGAATGTAGTGATTTGATTACAATGGAGAAGAGAATTCAGTTTCCTATTGAAATGTCAATGCCTTGGATATTGACTGATCATATTTTGAAGACAAAAGAACCATCCATGATGGAATACGTCTTATATCCACTAGATTTGTACAATGACAGTGCTCATTATGCTTTAACTGTATTCCGCAAACAATTTTTATATGATGAAGTTGAGGCTGAAGTGAACCTTTGCTTTGATCAATTTGTTTACAAATTAAGTGAACAAATCTTTGCTCATTATAAACAATTAGCATCTAGTATATTATTGGACAAAAGATTCCGTGTGGAATGTGTTGCTATGGGAACATACCTTATTTTATATCCAAGAGCAAATAGATATGAAACTCTGTTAAAACAGCGACACGTACAATTATTGGGACGCAGTGTAGATTTAAACAAACTTATTACACAGCGAGTAAATGCAGATATGTTAAAGTCTTTGGAGCTAGCTATTGCAAAATTTGAAGGTGGTGATATCACTGGAATTGTAGTATGTTGCTTGTTAACTTAATTTTTATCAAGTGTTAGAATTCTATATGATTTAACCATGTTTTTTTTATGTAGGAATTGGAAGGTATTATGCAAGTTAACAGATTATGCCACAAATTATTATGCAAACATCTAGCTTTGGATGAATTTGATGCCATGTTTCGTGAAGCTAATCATAATGTTTTGGCTCCATATGGCCGTATTACTTTACATGTTTTTTGGGAATTAAATTATGATTTTTTACCAAACTACTGTTATAATGCTGCTACCAATCGTTTTGTTAAATGTCGAGGCATAAGTTTCACACAACCTGTACAAAGGGATAAACCTCCTCAAATGGGACATCAGTATTTGTGGGGCAGCAAACAATTGAATCTTGCATATACTACTATTTATGGACAATATACTGGTAGATATTATTTATTTTGATATTTAAATTATTTTATTAATTAACTCTTTTTCGATTAAGGATTTGTTGGTGCTCCACATTTTCGTACTATGTGTAAAATGTTAGGTTATCAAGGAATTGCTGTTGTTATGGAAGAGTTGTTAAAAATAGTCAAGTCATTAATTCAGGGAAATCTTTTACAATTTGCAAAAACATTAATGGAAGCTATGCCTAGACAATGCAAATTACCACGATATGATTATGGATCACCCGGTGTATTAGGATATTATCATGCTCAGCTTAATGATATAGTTCAATATCCTGATGCAAAGACCGAATTGTTTCACAATTTTCGAGAATTAGGCAACACAATTTTATTTTGTTTGTTGATGGAACAAGCATTGTCTCAAGAAGAAGTTTGTGATCTTTTACACGCTGCACCATTCCAAAACATTTTACCTAGACCTTTTACTAAGGAAGGTGAAAAGACAGAAAGTAAACAAAAACGGTTAGAAGCAAAATATGCTGCTCTACAAATTGTTCCTAATATTGAACGATATGGAACAGCTAAAGTTAGTTAATTTAAATAAACCATAAACAATTAAGTTATAATTTATTTATTTTTTAATTTTAGCAAGTAACAATAGCTCGTGATGGAGACCTATTAACACGTGAGCGTTTATGTTGTGGTCTATCAATATTTGAAGTGGTACTTTCAAGACTTCGAGGTATGTTAGACGACCCTGTATGGGTGGGTCCACCACCTCAAAATGGTGTAATGAACATAGACGAGTGTACAGAATTTCATAGACTATGGTCAGCACTACAGTTTGTCTATTGTATACCAGTGGGTGATACAGAGTTTACTGTTGAGTAAGCACATTAATTTATTACCATTATGAATTATATTACATATTTCTATTTATTATATTTTAGGGAACTTTTTGGTGAAGGACTTCATTGGGCAGGTTGTACAATGATTGTTCTACTTGGTCAACAGAGAAGATTTGAGGCACTTGACTTTTGCTATCATATACTTAGAGTCCAACGAGTTGACAGCAAAGATGACAATGTTAAGGGAATTGTACGTATACTTATGTTATATGGCATATTTTAAACTGCACATATTGAAATTTTTTTTTTATACATAGCACTTGAAACGTATGGTTGACAGAATTCGTCGTTTTCAAGTATTGAATTCACAGATTTTTGCTACATTGAACAAATATTTAAAAGCTAATGAAACAGATGCTAGTGCAGTAGAACATGTTAGATGCTTTCCACCTCCTGTACATCCATCTCATCCTTCATCCCATTATTATAGACCTGATCAAACTGGGTCACGATAAACTCTTGACTATTTCTTGAAGTACTTTTAATTTATTGTATAACAAAAACTAAATATCTACCTACCTATTATATATGTTTTAATTTAATTTATATTTATACTTATATTTAAATGTATAATTAGTATTGGATTTTAACTATAACCAATTATATTTACTTTTAAATAATTAAATAAAAAAATATTATAATAAGTATTTCCCATTTTTTTTTTTTTTTTATATATATAGTTAGAAGTTTAATTTTGTAATAATTTATTTATGTTTATTACTTTAGTTGATTTTATATTTGAAATATTTACTCAATCACTGATTACTTTATAAAGATATTAAAGCAACCATTCCTTTTTAACATGGAATTATTTATTATTAGAAATTAGAGTTATTAAAAATATATGTGTATTTTTTTTATTTCAGCGTGTTTCTTAGTGATTCTGCAGATAAAACAATTGATTTGTTGTATACTTTTGGATCATTTGATTTACTCATGTTTATAAAGCATTTCATTAAAATTGTATAGCCTTAATGTGTTAGATGGACGGTATACTGATTATTAAATTTGACATACAAGTCAATTTAAATCAAACTAAAAATTTGTTTTTTTAAATAATTTAAACAAGAATATATTATTTAAAAATTAAAAAAATAAATAATATATATATATATACCAAGTAAGATCTTAGATGATAAAATTTTCCATCAATAATTTTTTTAAGTGATTTTAATGATAAAATTTGTAGTCTTTACATTATCTAAAAAGTTTTATATACAATGCACCATTTACAAATGTTTATTGAAGACCGGAAAAGAAGTCTGTGGCATTAACAACATTTGATGATGGCAAATTAAATTCTTTTGGATTGATCTTCTTAAAGTGTTTTTTTATATCAAACTCCTCAAAGAATTCTATATTCCAAAATTTAACAATACTACTGAAATAAGATGTTGAAGCTATTAAATGACCATTATCTGATATATCCAAAAGATCAACAGACTTATCTTGATGATGACCAACAATGCCTAAATGACAGTTGGGAAATAAATTTGTTGCCCTAAACAATAAATATTTAAATTTTTATTAATGTCCAAGTGAAAAACAAATGTGTACTTATCATACCTGATTTTTCCATTATCTAAAGCACTTATTAAAATGTTTTCTGTAACTGGAACTAATCTGTTCACAGCGGCGCCTTTATCAACACATGGGAATTCATCATTGAACATACTGTAGTCTCCTGTATTAAATGTAATCAGTGATCCTTCACCAGTACCACATACTACTTTTGTTTTCCGTTTCATTGTTACACAACTAGTTAGTACAGATTTATAAGGCTCCGACTGAAATAGAATATTAAAAATATAATTTTATTACAAATCTCATAATGTTTATGAGAGTAAAAATATATTAAAATACCTGGCAAACCATTTTTTTTGTTGATAAGTCAATAATGGTTAATGTACCATCCCCTGATGTACAAGCTAAAGTAGGTTGATTACTGCTATTATTAATAGTAATCATTGAATTAATACTGTCCTCAGTTTTCTTTATTGAAAATCTACAACCGTTTGCTCTTATATCCCAAACTAGAAAATATATAAAAAATAAATTATCAAAATACATTAAAAACTAATAAAATTTGTGACTATTGGTTTTTTTTTTTTTTTACCATTAACTACACCATCTTCATCACCAGTGGCAAACAAATTTTCATCAATAAAAGAAAGTGCTGTTACAAAACTCCTGTAAAATAACATTTTTAAATACTAAATAATGTTCATTAGTTAAGTTTGATTAAACTAACCCAGCTGTATGAGCTTTTTCAAAGTATACTTTCATTTTTCCTGTTTCGGCATCAGACACTGAGACATTATTGTCCTTACAAGCTGAATATACATAATCACCAGTTTCATTAAATTCTAATACCATTACTTTTTTTAAGTGAACATTATCATTTGTTCTCAAATGTTCATTCATTTCATTAGAATACTTATACCTATAAGTATAATAAAAAGTGTTTATATTTAAAATACATACAACTACTATTTTATAATTAAAAAAAATTATTTTTGCATACATAGCAATATCACCATTTGTAAGACCAAGAGCAATAACATTTGTATTTGGGTGAAAAGAAAATCCACCAATTAAGGAACCAACAGATAAATTAGGTGGATGATTTCTATTTCTGTCTGAACTAGCTGAAAGAAAGGCTGCTACCACTTCATCTTCTTCTTCTTCCACTTCTTCCTCTTCGTCATCATCTTCATTGCTGCGGTCGCCATCATTATTTTCTACTTCTTCATCATCATCATCGTCATCATCGTCGTCATCATCATCATCATCATCATCATCATCATCCTCGTGTTCTTCAATATCATCATCACTCATATCTTCATCATCTTGTAAAATAACAGCTGCAATTTTAATTGAGTAAAAATAATAGAGATAGCATAATAAATTGCTATCTCCAAAGATGATACGTGGCTTTGGTCAAACCATACCACCATAGCATATTAAAATCATAGATCAAGACCTATAATAGGTCTACTTATTTATCTTTATAAGTATATGATATGACTATGGTTATAAATTATAATAGATAATTAGGTAAGCCATGGTAGTCTATTAAGAGTAAGATATTAGATAATGCACATTAACTCATGATAATAAAAATCTTTGTATACATAAAATGGATCATATAATTTACCTAAACTTGAGCCTGACGAGGATTCATTGTCAGAATTTGAATGATAAATATCTTCGTCACTTTGCTCCTCCTCAGGCATACCTTCTTCATCAGATATTGACGAATCGTCGGAAGGTTTCTGCACATTCGGCATACACATTTCACCTATAATATAATGTTTTAGGTAAACAATAAATATGATTATGAATATGATTTTATATTTTAATTTTAAATCTAGGAATATTTGAATATCTATAAATATTAGATCCAAGTTCTTACCCTATTGCTATCCTACAAAGATAACTTATAAGCAAATTTAAGAATTTTAAATAAAATGTGTAAAATCAAAGTTTTGATTTAATACTTAAGTAAACTATAACATTACAGACGAAACTTCGTAGTCACTAGTCGGCAATCGCCTATCGGTAAGTCGTCACTTTAACATTAAAATCGATATGACGGATATCATGACGAATGATGATAGTAATAAAAAACAACATGAAAATATATGGTTGAAAAAGATAAAGAACTGTACGATTTGTGTGATTAATATGAACTTAGAACAGGTTAATCGTTTAGGCATAAACAATTTTTACATTTTATTTCGCAGTTTTTATCATGATGCATGAAGTTACGAATGATAATGAATGTAATATAGATAGTACTGTTATTAATTGTTATTATAATTTATAATAATATTAATAATAAAAGAAAATGTAAAATCAAATTGTTTTTTAATTTTTTCCAATCCAGTATCCACATTCACGGTTTGCGCTTCACAGAACTATATAATTGTAGCAAATAGTAATCATAGACATAATAATATAATGTATCCATTACTCATAAGTCTGCAGGACATCGGGTATGCAGGATAATGGTTGCGTACCGAGTGATTACGTGGTAGACACTTTTTATAAGGCTAATTTTATTAACTAAATCTTAAATTTCGAGTTAAAATACTCTTCTTTTATTAGACAATTATTTGCCTCTTACTTAGACGTGAGTAGACAAATTACTCGGAGCATCTTATGCACGGACAGATAGCTAAAGCTTTCCAATTAAAATCGAGGAAAAGCTTCCTTAAAGTATCTACAGTACCGTAGAAGATAACCCCTTTTAATGTAGGATAAATGCGTGGAAAGATAAAACAGTAGATATTAAAGGATGAATAGAACCAGCAGAATATCTACTTCTTGAAGTACAAGTTACAACAGCAGATATTGATTATATTGAAGTCAGATACCTATTAGGTATTTGTGTGAAAACTGGAAATGTAATCCATTGACGGAACTTCAAATTCTAATAATTATATTAATTAATTATGTATTTTTTTACTTTTTATTTAAGTTCATGTTTGTATTTTTGTATATACAGTCTAATACAAGAAAAAACAAAAAAAAATTATGAATATCTTGTATTCTTGTATATTATGTTATTATCTACGAACTACAATGCTAAAAGTAAATCAAAAAATAAAAATTCCAACGTAGGTAAGTAGGTAACGTAAAATTTCAGTTTAATTTCTTCTTCATTTTTAAATTGTATGAAAAAATGTTTGCTAATGACAATAATGACATATCTTTTATGTTTTTCATAGTTAAAAATTATAATAATAAGTTTCGAAGAACCTGAAGAATCTTATACTACGTTTATCTATACCAGGGGTCTCCAACCTACGGCCCGCGGGCCGAATCCGGCCCGCCAAGCTAATTAATGTTTTGAAAATAATATATTAATTTTCATTGTTTTTAATTTATTTTTTATTAAATTGATTAATAAATTAAAAAATTATATAAATAAACATACATTTTTTTAAATAAATCTCATCTATTCTTATTCATTTCTCAATTTCATAACCTATCAGATATTCCTAGAATCCTAGATAGACAAAATTTTTTTTTTTTTTTAGACAACACATTTCTATGTTGGCCCGCGATGCCAAAGCGTATATCAAATTTTGCCCGCTGTAAAAAAAGGTTGGAGACCCCTGATCTATACGTTTGTTGACCAAGCAAAACAAATCGGAAATCGGAAAATGTCATATATTTTTTAAAATGTTGGGATCGGGCATAAAAAATTCTAATAATGCATTAATTATTCAACGAAAGTTTTTTTTTTAAATTAGATTTACGTAAAAATTCCCGTTTTTTTTCTTTATTTTCATAGTTATAAAAAAAAAGTACCAACAATTTTTATTTTTGACCTCTTTAAAGTATAAACTAAATCTAATTTTCTATTCAAAACCATCCTCAAAGTTGAAAATCGAAGCATTTTATCGACTACCTACTTATTTTGTACACATATACATAACAGTAAAAGACATCATTACATAATCAATACATTCATCGCTTTGCTCAGATTTTAAATATTATAAAATAATTATTGGGAATTTTAAATTTTATTCTT